CTCTCTCTCACGCACGCACGCATGACACACGCAAGCACACACACTTTCCCTGACTTGTTCAATTTAGTCAAGACACTGCATTAAAAACCACCAAATCAGACCGACTCGTAGGTAACAATATGTACTTTTACATTTTTGTTACATCAGAAAAGTCCACTTATTTCCCCTCAAAAACTGACAGCACAAGAATCAGGTTATCTATCAAAAACAACAAGGCATGCGACAGAGAAAACTAGTTTATAGAACATCACCAAAGGTTAAAATGTAATCACGAGATAACATTTAAGTGGTGTCCATCCCAACTCCAGCCCAACACAAACATGCATGCATAAACCATCCTTACTCACATAATATATATACACTCACCACACACACACACACACACGACCATCACCTTCCCTCCATTAAAAACACACACACACGAGCACATACACACAAACACACACACGCACATATCCACACACACACACATATCCACACTGCACACAGACACATATACAACACACACACGCACACTCGCACACACACATACCCACACTGCACACAGACACATATACACACGCATGTGCGCACACACACAAACAAACACACTTACACACACGCATACTCACACTTTCACACACAGCATTTTCTCTCCAGGAGCAGAAAATCCAAAGGTATTTGCTCTGTGATATAAAATAAGGGTTTTGCGTAATATATTATTATTTCCCTGCTGCTAGTAATTTGCTGTGTGTAATTATTACCTAGCTTTCGCGGACTTGTGATAAACAGAAAACAGAGATGAGCCACGCAGTTTGTTTGTTGTTGTTTTTCTACAAATTCAGAAGGTCGATATATTCTGGCACGTTTTTTGTCAAAGTGCCAAGTCTGATATGTGTACAAGAATAAGAAGAACAAGCAAGGGGGGAATTTGATAAACCAAGCCCAGGCAGGGATAATGGCGTTGGCTGGCGAGTAATTATCCTTCAGCAGCTGCCTTCGTTTAACCCTTGCTGCCTTTGCTCGTAAGTTTTCTCTTTAGATTCCAGGGTCCCATGAAAACTTTTTTTCAACTCTTTTTTCCAACTCTGCAAATGATCACGCGAAAAACGGGGTTGTATATTAGCTGTCACATAAGACTTAAGATACATCCATGGGAAACTGAGAGTGCGAGATATCAGAATTATAAGAGGGAAAAAGCAAAACAAAATTATATTACTGATATTTTTGTGTTAAACTTCTTCGCTGTTTGTTCTGTTGCGTATTTATTACAAAATTGTTTGTTTTTTCGTTTATTATGTGTGTTGTTATAAAGTGGGAGTTCTTTGAGTTCTTTTGCTTTGTTCTTAACGATAAAATAACGCTGAAGGGTTAAGGCATACCGAAGGCCTAGTGGCCCTCGGTTACAATAAATAGGCCAAAGATACGTAGGTCGTGAGAGCTAGGCTCATTACCACCGACTCACCATTTGGACTGGGCAAACACCGATTTCCCGCAAATCCAGTTTTTTGTTGAATTTGTTCATACGTAAGCAGTTTAAAATCGACCCATGATCTTATTTTTTGGATAAAATGCTCACTGGTCGTTGTGTCAAAGACATTTCTGTCACAGAAGATTTAGAGGAAAGACAAATAATTTTGTCCCGAGACAAACATAGCCCAGACTGACGCCAATTATCTACCTTTAGTGCACCGTCTCCAGTCCATGTGAACACCAGACAAAATGAATCATTCAAAAAAAAAATTGGTACGATTCTACCAAATACGTCCGAACCATGAAAACAAACAATCACAGTTCTACTCTCTTCAAGATTTCAAATAATCTTATATGTAAATGTCTTGGAGAACCATTATTTATTTTTTTAAATTGGTTCCGTCATCCGGTTACAACAAGCTCATGTAAAGGGAATCTACTTCTTCGAAAGAAACCGGCTAACCGGTTCTTCACCTCAGATGCTCTAACCTTTATCCGGCATTAGTCAGGCGACCAGCAATCATCACGTTCATCTCTGAGAGGAAGCCACATTGGGCAGTAAACACAGGAGGTGATGGGAGCCAGCTGTGGTGTTATTACTGTCCCAGTTTCTACCACGTTAATGGCATGATTAACGTTTGATTTTCAATTGAATTCAGATCAAAATAAACGTTAAATATAGATATGACTTGTCCGAAGGGAGATCTCGTGGTCCAGAGGTTACGGTGTTTGCCCCTCATTCAATAGGTCCCGGGTAAGAAGCGTGACAGCGACGAATATATTATTCTCTAAAATTGTCTCCTTTCACCTATTTTCATGCTCTCCAGTCATGTTCTTTACGCAGTATCTATTCGGAGACGTCTCCGAGGGGAATACACCAATCAAAATGCTTTGTGCCTCTAGACCGAGCAAAAAATCTGGGGGGTTACAGGGGACATACCCCCTGTTTTAACCCATATCTTGATATTTTGCAATTAGGTTTGAAGTTTTCTTTAAAATGAATGATTTTCAACAGTTTTATTGGCTATTTGTGTGATCTGCAGCAAACAGTACGCAGTTTGACCCCTCAAAGCAGTGCATCTGTGTGCGGGAGTGCGTCTCCGAATTGTTTCTGGGTGCTTGCCGGAGACGTCACTCCTGATCTTAAGGTGGGTAAGATCTAACAGCTAGCCTTCTCAAGTAGGGGCGAAAAAATCTAGGAGATCGGGTGTGCAAGTTGCGCACGTTAAAGTTCCTTGGGTGTCCAACATTGATAAGAAAAGGCTTCGGCCGTCACCTGGGCAAAATTCAAAACCTCCTACCAAATGGAAAATGTTTAATGTGTCCCGCAAGCTCATTACATTATTCAGTTGCGAGCGCC